GAGGGGGCGGTGCTGCCACGGGCGGAGGCCGGAGCCGGAAGCGGAAGAGGCGCTCGGAGTGGGGAGTGGGGCCTAGCCGCAGCCGGAGCCTGGGAGACGGTGAGTGTGGGCCCGAGCCCGCGGCCGGGCGGCTTGGGTGAGTCGGTGGGGACGGGCAAGCTGGTACGGGTACCTCGGCTCCCGGTCGGGTCTCGGCGTGTACCCTTTTCCCTCTTCGGCCCACGTCAGGCCGCGGTCCCGACCTCTCACCCCTGACCCGTCGCTTCTCTCCCGGAGGGCGGTCACTGTAGACCCCCTTTCTGGATCCCGCGGTGCTGGAGGCGGAGCCCAGGCGGCCTCAGAGGCGACTGGGAGCATCCCCGTCGGGCCCCGCGCCGGCTGGATTCGAGTCCGACCTAAGCTAACCTGGAAAGACTTTCCCTGCCCTGGGCTCGAGGCTTAGCCCGCAGACCTCCGCCGCGCGCCGCCTGGAGTTTGATTCTGGCCCAGGCTGGCCTTCCCTCTGGTCGCCGGGTCTTCCCTTGGCGGTTACGGGGAACGGGACTCTGAGATCCCCGGGATCCGGGCGGAAGGAAGGGACTCGAGTGAGGGCCTCCGGCCCCCTCGGTGTTTTGTTACGATGGAACCGCTCCATCCCGGAGAATGGGCCAGACCAAGCCGAGAGTACAAGTGTCCAGGCTGCTCCTCGGTCCGACCGGGAGCCTCTATGCTTTAGTTCCGGGTGCGGGTGCCCTGATGCTTGGGTGGGAATTGCTTGAGTCTGGCCCCCGTCAAGGCGGAGTTGGCGGCCTTCCAGCTTCCCTCCTCCGTGCCCTTGAAAAGAAGGAGCGTTTTGCCCGGTGGCAGCCGCAGCTTGCGAGGTGGCAGGTTTGAGGTTGCAGTGGTGGGGCACTGCCAGCCAAAAATAACCATGGGTCGCTGGGGTGGCAGAAATCCGGGAGGGCAGCCGCTGACCTGGCTGGCTGCTCTTCTTGTCAGCCCGGTTCTCTAGCCAGGAACAGCAAATGAGAAGCCAGCCAGGCCTGTACTCAGAGAAAAGCTGGCATCTTTAGCTTGGTTTGATTGGTCACATTGCCTTTTTTTCATTGTGCAGAGCCTCCCAATGCATAATTGTGGCGCTTAAGTTTTAAAAAGCCTCTCTGCTGAGGTCTCCAGAAATCGGAGGGAATTTATGAGAAGTGGGCCCAAGAGCCCCGGCTGGGATGACGTGAGACACCTGGTAGTTCCTATATTTCACCTCCCCGGGCTGAGTTGCAAGATCTCCATTGCTACCCTATACGTGGTACTTTCTGGCCGTCATACTTGGCCTTCTTTGCCAGTCTGGGAGGTCTTATCTTCATTTTCCAGGCGTTGGACCCGAGCTCTAAAGTGACTTGTATAAATAAGGCCACAGAGCCAGTAAGTGGCAGCACTGGGATTGAGTTCAGGGTTTTCTGCCAGAACTTCCTACCTGCTCCCATGGAAAGGATTATAAATTGTGGCATTCATCATAACGCTGAGTGTTACCCGGAACCTTCTCAGACTGTCTTACTTCTTGAGGCCCAAACCCGTGCTAGACTTTTGACTTTATAGGGCAGATATACTTAATTCTTACAGAACCTGTAAGAGATTATTGTTTCCTTCTTTCAAGAGGAGGCCGAAGCTCCTCAGAGTGGTTTAATAACTTACCCCAAGACAAACAGTGAAGTGGTAGTGGCATGAATTAGGTTGACATTGGACTCTGAAGCTATGACTTTCCACTCAGGTAGACATATGGTCATAAAAATTTTCTAGGTCCCAGAAGGAAAACTTTGCCTGGTGTATATTAGACCACAATTACCACATCCTCCAGATAGGTCTTTGTCTGCCTGATGAGAATGGGCAGGACCACACTTGCCTTGTGGGAAGATATGTGCCCTGGCCAGTAGGATGTCTTTTGGGTCAATTAGTGAGACATGAAATACTGCTTTCAGGACACAGGTTGAGCACTTGCCTTAAGGTAATTGGGAAAAAAATGAAAACAGAAACATTATTCAGATGATTGTGAAAATAACAAGTCTACTGATTTTATGTAGTGTTTATTTCCAAGGATTTCTGGGTGGCCCAGACTTTTCAGATGGAGGGTTGCTAGTGGGGAGATAGAAGGCAGTGCCTTTCAAGTTCTCCAGAGGCTCCCAGAGGTTTAGATGATGAATTGGCCTCCCTGTCCTGCTCATACACAAGTAGCTGTTTCAGTTTTGGATTAGCTCGTGAGATGGAGCAACCTTGATGGATTTGTTTAAAAGATGCTTGGCCAGGCAAGCCTAGAATGTGCAAGACTAGAGGTTGGGTGTGAGCAATTGCCGGCTTGGGAAGCAAACAAGCAGTGTGGTCTCTTGCCTGGCCATCTGGTGGAGAAAATGTGAAGGGGCAAGATATGAGTGAAAAGGGTACCAGCCTCATGTAGCCATCTTCCTCAACTGGTTGCTGATCCAGCTTGGGAGTCTCCTCTATTGATATCAGTCCCCAGTAGCTAGGGATAGTGAATGAGAAGCCTACTTCTGCTTCCAAGTGTAGACCTGCAGCCACTTCTTGGCATCTAACCAGCACAGGAAAACAGTGCTGGTTAGGGGGAGCTAGGCGGGATGGCAGTGATACTGTTGGTTTAAGGCGAAGCATCTGGCATAGGTCTGGGTTGGTCTGAGGGCCACTAAAATGTGCCTCAGGCAGGCATCTTAGATTCTCCGAGGAGTGTGGCATCTTCCTGGGCTGAGACTGGTTGGGCCAACAAGGGCTGGGCAGGTCCTCTGGGCCTATACCCACTTGACTAGACACTGGTAGAGGTAGGGAATATTGATGAGACATTGTGTCTTTGCTCAAGAGTCAGTGTTCTCATTTCTACTGTGGCTCGTCACTGACTTAAGAGTTTTCAACTTCTTTGAGTTGAATCCAGTTCAGTGCTTTTTAGCCAGGCAGCTTTCAGTTTCTGAAACCAGTACATTGGCTCCATGCCACCAGTTCTTTAACTCCAGACTCCTGGTATATTTAGATATAGCAGGAAGAAATTGAGCAAAGAAGCTCTTCTTTCTCCCTGCCCTTGGAATCTCTGTGGCAGTGCTCAGCATCCCTCTAAGAGATCTACTTCTGTATTTGGACCCTGACTCACCTGGTTCAAATGTTTAGGCCCCTAGGCCATGCTGGGGAGGCACCTGTTTGTTTATTCACTGGCAAAGGACGAGTCACCCATTGTAAGCTGTTCTGTCACTGTGACCTCAGAGTTCTTCTTTACTTCATAAACTCCTGCGGGGGGAGGGCTGCCCCTAAATAGAACAATGGGCCTCTTCTTCAGGAGCACCTGGCTGCACCAGGCAGCCCTGTGGCTGGAAGCAGTGAGCTGTGTGCTGAGCAGGGCTTTCTCTTTCTTGTGGCCTAGATGCATCACTGTAAGCGATACCGTTCCCCAGAGCCAGACCCGTACCTGAGCTACCGCTGGAAGAGGAGGCGGTCTTACAGTCGGGAGCATGAAGGTAGACTACGATACCCATCCCGAAGGGAGCCTCCCCCAAGGAGATCACGGTCCAGAAGGTGAGTGGGAGTTGGTTTGGAGGAAGTTCTTCTTTCCTCAGCTAGATGAGCAGATGGCCCAGAGACTCTGGTGGCCTTAGGTTCCTTTAGGTGACTGCCTCTGCCTAGGTACCCATGGACCCTTGTCCTGGCTTCAGTAGAAGCTACTTTCCTTGTCCTGTCTTTGTCACAAAATGATCCTCCTCCTTCTGTATTTTCTAGGCCACTCAAATGTGAGCCTTCCTCAGTGGGAAGTAGAACATTGTCCTAGCCTTAAAAAGACTGCTCCTAAGTCCTGTCTGAGTCCCCAGACCAAAGTGATAGTTGTACCAGACTAGTCAACTCTCACTGTTGGAGGCCCTTCCCTGTGCTCGCTTGCTATTTCTGCTTCTTCCTCCTGAGGCACTGGAAGGACACTGTCATTACCCAAGGCTCTGAGAGTAAGCTTGGTACCTTTGCTCCTTCTCCCTGCTCACTTCCCTCAGCTTGGATGCTTCAGCTCTGACAGACTTTCCTTGAGAGTCTTTGCAGGGGCCTTGCCAAAGAAAGGCCTCTTACCTGCTGCTGGCAGGAACCCAGCTGGTAGGGCCCTTCTTGACTCATGTCCCCACCCCCTCTTGGCAGCCATGACCGCCTACCCTACCAGCGGAGATACCGCGAACACCGTGACAGCGATACATACCGGTGTGAAGAGCGGAGCCCATCCTTTGGAGAGGACTGCTATGGGTCTTCACGTTCTCGACATCGGAGACGGTCACGAGAGAGGGGGCCATACCGTACCCGCAAGCATGCCCACCACTGTCACAAACGTCGTACCAGGTCTTGTAGCAGCGCCTCCTCGGTGAGTGGTGGCCAGAGTGTGCTAACAGGGGCCTAAAAAGGCCTCATCTCTTTCTAGCCTTCTCTCAGGCTGGCTGGTCTGGGTGAGTACTGGCAGCCCTGTGCACACACACCGTTGTGTGTGCATATATGTGTGTGCGTGTGCGTGTTTGGTACAGGGTTGAGCAAGGATGTTATGCCCTCCATCTTCTGGCCCCTTGCCAGTGGTAACTGTAGGGGCTCTGGCTCCGGCGCTGGCTGGTTTCCAGCCTGTCTGTGTCTACCCACTGTTCCAGACATAGGCTACATGGTACACATGTCTGGGACACACTCCTCAGGAATTGTACTAAGATTGATGGTTTGGAGACAGCCTGGTCTTTTTCATATCAGGCCTTGTCCCCTTCCAAACTGCCCCCCCCCCCCGGGCTTAGGTGGGGAGGGTGAGTGCGGACTTGACCACCTCTGCCGCCTTACCTCACAGCCCCCCTCTCCTAGAGAACTAGAGTCTCCATCACCCAATGAAAAAGGGACATTTTACCAGATTTTTTTTTTTTTTAACTTTTTAAATGCTGGGAATCCAACCGAGAGCCAATAGATTACTAGGCAAGTGCTCCACCACTGATGTATGTCACACCTTGGTTCCCACACTTCCTCTTTGTTTTTGAAAATCTTGTTATGTATTCTAGGTTGGCCTAAAACTCCTGATCCTTTTGCCTTTATTTCCTGAGTGCTAGGCACCACTGCCTAGTTTCTAGCCCTTTCTTTTTTTGATACGGATCTTGAATTTCTGTGTTCAGCCGTCTAAGCTGCTGGTCTGTAAGCATATATCACTTTGCCCTGTCAACTCTCTTCCGCCTTGTTCCTTGATAGGTGAGGCACTTGTGATGAGGAGAGGCAGCCATTTGTGTGCTGGGGCACCTAGGCCTCACCTTGTTGCTGACCACTTCAAAACAGAGGTTGGTCAACATTCTAGGGTGGTGGGTTGAACAGACCAAGAGTCCACACTGTACTCAATCCCATGGAAAAGGAAAATCACATGTGTGTTTCTGAGGTTATGTGCTGTCTTCTCTTCTCCCCATCTCTTCTCCCCATGCTGTCCTCCTGCTGGCCAAGAGGCCTCTGAATAGTAGTGGTGGGTTCAGTGGAGGTATCTTCTTTGCCCAGTCTCTGTGACTTGAGTGGCATGGGTTGAAGGTTGACTCTTGTAGGTGAATCCAGCATGGCCTGTGGCCTCACACAGTGCCACACGCTGCCACTGGATGGCAGTGTAAGTCTGTTGCTCTGCTTATTTAGGGTGCCCTCTGTTGTTGTGGGACGGGTCTGGCTTAAGAGTGGCACAAGTCCTAAGGCCAGGCCAGGAGCTGGCTTGGGGCCTGAAGGTCGGCTGTCCTGGAGGATCTCAGCCAGGCTCATTTCCTGCTGGAGGCTGGTGGCAGGAGGACTGCTGGCAGAAGGCTGTTTCTGGTAGTTGCTTAAGTCTGGCCAAGGATGTCATGTGGGGGCAGGTGGTAGCTTGGTTTTACATGGCAGCTGTTGAGCATGTTGTGAGGCTGTGTGGGCGAACAGAGGCAGGCAAGGACAGGCTGAGCATGCTGCTGCTGCGGAAGCCAGGATAGCCCTCCGATCAGTCCTGAAGGTTGGACCCAGGTTGGGCCAGCTGCCTTTTTGCGCCGTCCACTCTCCCTGCGTCTTCAGCTCTGGCCAAAGTCATGGGAGGGTCAGGGCGGGGGAGATTCAGAAGAGGAGGGAGTCAGGGCTGTGGCTGTCCTTGGGGCCTGGCCCCTCTGTGTCAGAGGCTGGACATCTTTCTGAGCATTTGTGGCACTCTTCTTAGAGATAATGTCCGAGTTTTCTTACATACCTGTAGCTGTTTTTGCTTTTCTGTTTTGAAGTCAGTTTGTGTCTTGACGTGTCCCTTGCAATATCCCTATCGTTATATATGCTGTGTGCCTTATGAAATGCTGGGATCTGGAAAATCCAACCAACCAACCCACCGGCTCCTCACCGTCTCCACCTCTGCCTTTGACTGACACCTCAATCTGTCAATCGGAACCGCCTACCATGCGATTGGTCGGATGGCGTTTCGGGGGGCGGTGCATGCAGAGAAGCCAACAGAGCAGTAAGCGCAGCAGCCGGAGTGTGGAAGATGACAAGGAGGGTCACCTGGTGTGCCGGATCGGCGATTGGCTCCAAGAGCGATGTACAGCCACCTTTCGTAAAACTTTACCTCTCTACTTTCTACCCCCCTTGTTAGATGAGACCTCTCCTGCGTGGAGGGGCCCTAGTGCGCGTGGCGCCTTAGTGGGGCCACCAGTAATTGCCTGAATGACACAGACACTAGCAACTTCTGTTTTTAAGAGTGTACAGTGAGCAAGAACCTTTGTTGTTTTTGAGGATTTGAATGCTGTGAACTTGCAGGAGCTGCCAGACTCCCGCCCTCCAGACTCTGATGCCCAGCTTCTTCTTTCTCACAGATGAGATCGTGGGGAACCTGGGTGAAGGAACCTTTGGCAAGGTGGTGGAGTGCTTGGACCATGCCAGGTGAGCATGCAGGGGCAGCACAGCAAGCTCTGGGTGTGATCATCCTTGGAAGAGCTAGTTTGAGGCTCCTCAGAGTAGCTCTTTTTGGAGAGTAGCACTAGTGCCCATGTATGTGCTGGGTTTTACTAATCTCATGAAGTAAGGGAGAAATTCATGAGATTTGACAGGCATGTGACATTCCTGCCCAAGAACTTCTGATTAATAGGTGCTTCTGCCCTTTATGAGCTGTGGCATTGATAACAAGGCAGGGCCAAAGCCTGGCTTCTGTGGCTTTTTGAGATTTTTGGTCAGGCTGCATCTCTTTTTTGGTTTCTTGGGCAGAGAAAAGGACAGCTATAAGGATCTGGGACCCTTTAAAGAATTCAAAGGGAGTCAGTATAGGGCCAGTGGAGGTGAAATTCAGTTCTTCCAATAGCCCTGGAATGAGTTATACCTGTGTTGTGTCGGAGTGGGGGCTACACTTGTTTCAGAAGTCTAATGTAGTGGGCTCTCCTTCCTCTTTGTCAGAAGGTTGAGAGTGCTGCTGGCCTGGCTTTATACTGCCTTTGCCCCTGCCATGTCTGCCTGAGAGGTCTCAGGGCCAGATGAGGGAAATGAAACTCTGACCTTCACATCTAGCATCTGCTGCCCACCCTAGTGTGAAAAGGGCCTTTTTTGGTTTTTCGAGACAGGGTTCCTCTGTAACTTTGGAGTCTGTCCTAGAACTAGCTCTTGTAGACCAGATTGGCCTTGAATTTACAGAGATCCACCTGCCTCTGCCTCCCAAGTTCTGGGATTAAAGGCATGCACCACCACCGCTCGGCTTGTGACTAGGGTCTTGACTAGTTCATGTTGACTTGGTTCAGATTACGGAGGCAGTGCCTGTCTGTGTCATTCTACTGAGGCCAAATAACTCCCTCCAGTCCTAGCGGTGAACACGTATCCCCCTCATCATCTGCAAGACTAGAATCCTTGCTTTCTTCCCTGTAGCAGTAGGTGAGAGGCAGCCCTCTGGGAACCAGTTGTGTTCCTGCCTTACTAACCTCTAATTGCTTTAATACTGGAGCTCTCATTTGAGCCATGCCAGCCATTGCTTCAGAGATGAAGCAGTAACATCCTCTGTGGCGTCCCAAGTTATAACTCAGTCTTTGATGCCGAGCTGGGCTGTTCATGGTTCTCCCACATTAAGTGGGCTTCTTAGAAAGGATCATTGAACCCAAAGTCAGCTGTAAGAGGAAGTGCTAATGTGATCGAGAAGCTTTCCTCTGCTCCCAGTTTCCATTCAAATGCTTGTTCATCCACCATGACCCCCAAGAATGTGTGTAGGGACATATACTCACTGTCTTGTGACCAGATGTAGACATGACAGATCCAAAAACTGTGATACAGGAAGACAGCTACCAATGTGTGGACTGTTCTTTGAAGCTGGGGGTGGGATATAAGCCTCTGAAGTCACTAAAGGACAGACATAAGGTCTTGGGAACCTTTAAAGAATTCAAAGGGAGTCAATGCAGGGCCAGTGGAGGTAGAATTCAGCTCTGCCAACAGCCCTGACAGACCATTGTTTGTGTGTGTGGCAGGGGGCACCTTGTTTCAGAAGTCTGAAGTACTGGCCTCTCTTTAGCCTGCACTGCCCAAGAAACCAGAAAAATGGATGAGGGCTAGCAGAGCAGGGAATTCTGAAGTTGTCTTTGCCCATGGGTCTATGAACCTGTTCCCAGCATCAATGCCATCCCTTGAAGCACCAGAGGGTATACCCTAGCGGGCCAGAGCCACCTCATTTTAGGTCTCCATTGGCACCTGAATACTAGCTTTCATTGCCAAGTCTTGGCAACCCAGCCTGGCACGTTTCCTTGTCTGCTCACATCCTGCAAAGGCCTGATAGGGATGAGTAGAGCAACAACAGTGGAACTCTCATGGGACACTGAGAAACTTCCTGGCTCTCTGTAGCTGGTGGGAAGGACCTGGATTAGAGTGTAGTGTAGGGAGTGGCCCAGGCTTCCAGTGAAGAAGTTAAGCTTCACTACTACCCAGGTCAAGAAAGTATATAGTTGAGCTCTGGCCTACAGGAGGGTAGGTTATAAGCTTCCAGGGACTGGGGTTGGTCAGGATTGGCCTCAACTCTTCTGCCTAGATTCTCCCTGGTTTCTCAGATCCTAAAGGTATCAGCATGTCAGCATGAAAACCAAAAGAGTTCATACAGATGCCAGTGGGTCTTGTATGGTGAGCAGAGGTCTGGTGTTGCTTTAACAGGTTGTACCTCAAGTATAAACACTGCCTCAGAATCTGTTTTACATAGTGGTATTGAGTTGCTGTGTTTCAGGAAAGGATAGCATGCTGGGCACTTGGCTGATGAGAGCCTTCACGTCTTTTCTGATCTACAGAGGGAAGTCACAGGTTGCCCTGAAGATCATCCGTAATGTGGGCAAGTACCGGGAGGCTGCCCGTCTAGAAATTAATGTTCTCAAGAAAATCAAGGAGAAGGACAAAGAGAATAAGTTGTGAGTATCTACAAGGAGTGAGAGGGGATCACTCAGTGGGGTAGCATCCTCTAGTTCCAGCTGCCTGAACACCAGGGATTTCTCCATGTCTTACGGGAGCTCGGTAGTGGTTTCTCAAAACACTCAGTAAGGGAGTGTGACAGGGTTCTTTCTGGAAAGAGCCCTTGGACTTCAGGCACTATCTAATCTGGCTTTGTGTTCTGAAGTCGTTCTAGCCCTGCATTTATGAGTTAGGGACTTCACAGGTTTGTGACACTTGTTTGGACACTCAGAGAGCTTTTCTTTGGCAGATAGATACTCAGCAGAGGGAATGTACCTGCCCAGGCCCTCAAGAAGCTTAGTAGTACCTGGAGGCCTGTGTTGTACTGGTACAATTCTATCTCCCTCTTGTAACTGGAAGGGCTACTCACCATTCCAGCCACAGGTGAGCTGAGTGCAAAATTAAAGTCCCTCCACACAGTAGGAAGTTCAGTTCTCGCTCTGTGTAATAGTAGATTGAGACACGTGCTCTGTTGCTTTGTATCTTGGTATGCAAAACAATGTTGAGTCAGGTGAGTCAGAGCTTGAACCCCATCTGTCCTTTTTTCCTCTAGCCTGTGTGTCCTGATGTCTGACTGGTTCAACTTCCATGGTCATATGTGCATCGCCTTTGAGCTCCTGGGCAAGAACACCTTTGAGTTCCTGAAGGAGAACAACTTCCAGCCTTACCCCCTACCACATGTCCGGCACATGGCCTACCAGCTCTGCCATGCCCTTAGATGTAAGTGCCCATTGGTGGTTGGAGCATGGAGTACTTTGTCCTCAAAACAAAGTCACCTAGTGGTCTTGCCACCCTGTTTCCTCGAGCATACTGTTGATGGTTCTGTAAGGTCTCTTAAGCCTAGGCCCCCTGGCTGAAAGGTCCTTCTATCTTCAGATAAGAATCTCAGTGTGAGAATAGAGGGACCACATGTGCCAGGCTCTTCCCCAAGTGCATAGGAAGAAAAAAGAAAGTGCTCTAGAAGTTGCCTAGCTACTGACCTTGCCTTCACCTTCATAGAAGAGGAAAAGGTAGAAAGTGGACCTGATAGGCTCCTGCTACCCAGAGACCTCTGTCACTCATCTATTCACCAACCTCGAAGAGCAGCTTTGCTGGAACCAGTGCTCAGTGCACTGTAGGACTTAGGTAGAAAGGCAACTTGGAAAGTGACAGAAGCTAAGATATGCAGGCCTAAGTAGGTGATGGGGAAAGGAACCAAGTAAGGGGCACAGTTCTGCAAAGGTCTAGACTGTTGACTCAGTCCAGTGGAGAAGGGGGGAAGCATGGCTCAGATGGGGTCATGGAGTTGTGAGCATCTTAGAGGCCAAATGGGAACAATGAGGTTGAAAAGGAATTAGTAGAAAGTGACAGTGATTGGATGCAGAAGACTTTCCTTCTCCATAGGCATGCATTCCAACAGTCACACTTAGGTGCAGTGAGCCATTATATTAGTGAGAGGGACTCACTAATGCAGCTTCAGTGAGATGGTAAGGCTCTGCCTCTCTTGAGAGTGGTGGAGGGGTTTTTTTTGATGGAAAGCAGCGTTCCTTCCCTCCCTGTCTTGTGAAGGATTATGAAGAGGCCTTACAGAACTGGGCTAGGGTTGTATGTGAGCAGCTCTGGCCACAAGCTGGTGAGCAAGCCTAAGGTCTCAATATGTGCTTCTCTCTCCTCTAGTTCTACATGAGAATCAGCTGACCCACACAGACTTGAAGCCAGAGAACATCTTGTTTGTGAATTCTGAGTTTGAAACCCTCTACAATGAGCACAAGGTAGAGCACTGACTGGGTGGGCAAGAGTGTGGCCCTGCTCCAAGGTAGGTCACCTACCTGGGCAGATTGACCTAGCTGGCCTGCCTTGCATTCAGAGCTGCGAGGAGAAGTCAGTGAAGAACACCAGCATCCGAGTGGCAGACTTTGGCAGTGCCACATTTGACCATGAACATCACACCACCATTGTGGCTACCCGTCACTATCGCCCACCTGAGGTGATCCTTGGTGAGTGGCTTCATAGCCTCCAGTATTGTTTGCTCTGGGCAGTTGTCAGAATGAATAGCTGGATGTGGTGGTATACACCTGTAATCCAAGTTTTTAGAAGGCAGAAAAGATCAGTTTAAAGCAGCCTTGGCCACACGAGACCCTGTCTCAAAGTGAGGCAAGTGGTAAACAGTACCAATCAATCTGCTGCCCGGACTGGATAATATCCAAGACACTAAGGTAGACTTGGTGTTAGTCAGAAATAGCCTTGTTAGTGGGGCTTGGGCAAGAGCTACGCTAGCTAGAATGACAGCTTCCTGGGAATGTAGGGTGTTGAGTCTCACATCTTGCCATTTTGGCTTGCAGAGCTGGGCTGGGCACAGCCCTGTGATGTCTGGAGTATTGGCTGCATTCTCTTCGAGTACTACCGTGGCTTTACCCTCTTCCAGGTATAGTACTGGGTTGGTGGGCTGTAGGGCACATGGTCAAGAAGCTGTGTGGTTAAGGAATTGATACCTTCCATCCCTATCAGTTCATGTGAATCTAGACTCTTAAGGGTTATAGTTGCTCAGGGGAAGGAATTAGTTAAGAGTCTAAAGTAGGTAGGGAGGATTTCATCCAGGACAAGACTGGGTACAAACAGATTCTGTCTGGGCAAGAACTTATAATAGGAATCCTGTGGCATGAAGAACCAACCTGGTGTGCAATCAGCCAGCCAGGTCCACCTAGGGGCCAAAAAACATGAGGCCAGCCCTGGTTCTAGGCCTGTGGGATGCCACCAGGTTGTGTTGAGACAGTTTTCCTCTCCTGGAGTGGGGAGCTCTTGGCCCATCTTTTCTCATCCTTTACTCTTCCAAAATGGGCATAAGTTGGACTTAATTTTTACTTGTTCTATCCCTGATCTTCTGCAGACTCATGAAAACAGAGAACACTTGGTTATGATGGAGAAGATCCTAGGGCCCATCCCATCACACATGATCCACCGTACCAGGTAAGAAGTATCCATGGCTCTGGGTCAGCTGGGTACCAGAGATACAGCTTTTACCAAGTATTCCTGTGATTCTCCCAGCTCCTCATAGCCTTTACTGTATCTGTATATCCCTCAAACCTATCTGGTAAAAGCTGTTGCCCCTACTAACCTTTGCAGGGTCAGGCTAACACCTATTTTCTGTCTCTGTTGCTACCTGAAGACTGCCAGGAACCACTTTTCCCCCCACCTCCCACCTAAGCCCAGACCTGAGGGCTTCCACTCCTTGATTCCTTTTTTTCCCCTTGACTTTCTAGGAAGCAGAAATATTTCTACAAAGGGGGCCTGGTTTGGGATGAGAACAGTTCCGATGGGCGGTATGTGAAGGAGAACTGCAAACCTCTGAAGGTCAGTTTCTGGCTCCCCCAGCTCAGCTCATGCCAAGGAGACCCCAGGCATTGGGCAAACAAGCAGCAGAGACAGGATGGGCAGCCAACAGCTGCCTGATCATATCAGTTTTCTGAGGCAGCGCCCAAGACTACTGGGTACTTGCAGTAAGGCCTTCTGCAAGCTGCCCCTGAGGCGCCCTTAGCCTTGCCCCTTTCCACGGGGGGCTGAGAATGTAATGGGGAACACATGAAAGAGCCAGCTGTCAGACTGCTGCTTCCTGTCCCCTTCTCGTCTCTGAATTTTGGGAAGAACTAGGCAGGACTGAGGCAAGAGGGAAGGAAAACCTAGATGTGGTCAGGAGGACTGTCAATGGTTATTTGGTATCTGGACAAGTGCATTTTGCAGAAGTGATTTCTAGCCATCCATCAGAACTTTGCATGTGGGGTAGAAGCACCAACCCAGCAAGATCCCACCCAGTAGCCTAAATTCTGAGCATGAAAGGATGGGAGCTGTTCTGTCCTGGAGGGCAGAAGTAGTCCTCCAAGGAGGCATAGCTGCCTCCTTGACCCACCCCAGCAAGGCATCCCAGAGGCAAGGGGACTGCGGTGGTTTCCCACAACCCTGCCATCACACTGAGGCACCTTGTGTCCTTGAGCAGAGTTACATGCTCCAGGACTCCCTGGAGCATGTGCAGCTGTTTGACCTGATGAGGAGGATGTTAGAATTCGACCCTGCTCAGCGCATCACACTGGCAGAAGCCTTGCTGCATCCCTTCTTTGCTGGCCTGACCCCTGAGGAGCGGTCCTTCCACAGCAGCCGTAACCCCAGCAGATGACAAGTGCAGGCAAGCATACGAAGAGTTGGAGAGCTGGACTGGGCTCCTGACCCCTTTTCTCCAGCCTCTCCCACTGGCCTCTGAGCCAGGGCCACCGATGAACAGTGCAATGTGAAGGAAGGCAAGGAGCCTGCAAGGGACGGGGGATGTGGTGCCCAGCTGCCAGAAAGCACAGATTGGACCCAAGCTATTTATATGTTGTAAAGTTATAATAAAGTGTTTCTTACTGTTTGTAACCCCCTGGTACCAGTGTGTCCATCTCCAGGCTCCTTGCCTTCTCCCTTCTCTGACTGACTTATTAATAAAGTCCTTCTTAGCAGCTCAGCTTGTGGAAAGCTAAGTGTGGGCTGGGCCAGACACAGAAAGGCAAGCCAATGAGTAAGCTGGAACATCGTCTAGGGCATCAGTTCTCAACCTGGGGGCCCAACAACCCTTTCACACAGGTCACCTAAGGCTATCGGGAAACACAGGTATTTCCATTATTCACCAGTAGCAAACTGTTAAGTAGTAACTAAAATAATTTTATGGTTGGGGCTCATCAATATGAGGAACCCCGTATTAAAGGGTTAACATTTGAAAGGTTGAGAGAGCCACTGCTCTAGGGTTTTAAGTAGAGCACTTTTGGCAGCAGGATACCAATGAGGTGGCAGACTTGCCAGACCTAGAAGGCTCTTGCATCTTTCAGTCCATAGCACACTATAGCTAGCCAAGCAGAATCTGGTTTTTCCTTAGTGTCACTAGTTATGAATGTTACTATGTACATGCCCAGCAATCACGGCTCCTAAGATTTGGGGAAACAGCATTTCTTCACACTCTACAAAGCAGTTGAGACAGCACAGAACTCACTTTATTGTAGTGCTGGATTTGGGTTTCCCAAGAGCTGCATGAGTTACTGACAGATAGGACCACTTGACTGAAATCAGCCGCTGGGCAGGAACTTCCAAAGAGAGTTGCAGATAGGAGTAAAACAGTTTCAGTAACTCAAGTGGGGGTTCAGGCCAAGGGCAGAGAAAAGAGGGAGAGGCTTCTCAAAGTCTTACTACCTCCAGGGTCACCACAACTACCTGATGCTAGCCATCTTCAGGACCAGAGTTCCACTTTATGTGTCTAGTAACCTGTATTGAAGTGTGCAGCTGAGGCTCCCAGTCCTCTGGCCTCTTTCCTGCTGCTGGAAATAACTTGAGAGAAAAGATGGAAGGAAAGGAAAGGCCATCTGTCAGGGCCAGGTTCCTCCTACAAAAAAAGAGATAGCCTGAAATCTATAGTATCAGGGTAGTAAGCCCATCTGCATGTCTGCCTATGCCCACCAGTGATGGGCACAACAGAAAGAACCATGTAGGGGAGAGCTTCAAAGTACAAATCCTTTGTAAAGGTCCCTGCTAAGGCTCCAGGCATGGTCCTATCCTACTAGCCTGTGGGGTTAAAATCAAGGAAGATCCCAAGGATAATGCCCTAGAATCTGAGCAATGTGATGTTTCCATGGCTGAGACCCATCAGCAAGGTCATCCAGAACTGGGCTCATTTTGGGCCATTTGAGACAGACAGTCCCAAGTCTGCACACAGGGGAGGGCAACTATAAAAGATTAAAGCCCAGACATAAGAACATAAGAGTGAAGCCATGGCATTGGGGGGGGCGGGGAGCATTTCCAGAGGCAGGCAGAAGGGGAAACAAGGAATATTTATGGGTAAGGAGGAGGTAGGAAGTGATGGCCTAGGACAGAAGCACCAAGGAGCCTCCTCTGGCTCAGCACCGAACTCCCCAGGGTCTCCCCAGTACTGAAAAGCTGCATCCTGAACATCTGGCCCCCCAACTAGGAGGCGGACATTGTATCCTGACAGGCACAAAACCTCTGTTAAAGATGACAGCAAAGCAGCCAGCCTAGAATCTCATCACAGTCATCATCCCGATACACTCCCCAGAAAAAGTTCCAACATAAAACTGGAACATTTCAGGAGGGTCCAAAGCTTCCAAAAAAACTTGGGTGGCACTGGGGGAAGGCAGAGACGGCACTCTCGGGACCTAGGAGATCACAGGTCTGCCTTCTGGATAGCTGCCTGATAGCAGCCTGATCTACATGATTAGAGTAAGGGTGAATCGGCTGGTTGCAGGGCCAGAGGAAGCATGGAAAAGACAAAGCCTTCTGAGATGAGGTGGGTGAGGCTCCAATAGGCCCTGGCCTACCCCACAAGGTGCCAGACCATGCCCAGTGGCTGTAAACCTGAAACAGTCTTAGAGCTGCCTATGTCTGTAAACAAAGCCCCACTTGAATGGAGGCATGGTAGGATAGAAAAGATGCCTGGAGCCACTGGTCTATCCCTGACATGCATGCCAGTGGGAAAGCCTTCCCTGATTAAGGGGAGGTGGCAGGCAAGTTTTAAGTATGTTTGTGTTCTCTCATGGAAGAAACAAACCCAAAAGAGAATCTATAAGGTCCACAAAGCTTCACATCCTTAAGGCGTCCGTTGATGGGTTTGGCGGCAGAAGTGCAGGGGAATATAGGGTCCAGCTGCCAAGAGCCCTCTATGCAGAGTGCAGGGGAATGACAAACTTGCAGCCAAAGGGTGAATGGTAGTTGATGCCAACCTCCTGGAAGATCTGCTGGGGAATGCCAATGTCACACAAATAGACTCGGCCTGCGTGCTCCCCCAGTGGCAGAGGCAGGCCCAGTGCCAGGGACCATTTGGCATCAATGCCCTGTTCCACTTCATGCACTGGAGGGTCTATGCTGAGCACTGGTGCCCGGTTCTGGTTTGCCCAGGCCACAGCTGCCTTGTACCAGGGCTGATCCCGCAGGAAGGCGTTCTCGGGGCAATCCAGGCAGTTGATAACCAGGTCCACAGGGCTAGTAGGGAGATCTGTAGATGGAAAGGATGCAATTGAACACTCCTGGAGCAGACAGCAGGCAGGATCAGGGTTTATGGCTCCATGAGATCTGGTGTTTGAGGAGGCACCAACTCTAATATTAGCCTCTCCAAAGGCCCAGCCTTCTCAAGAGCATGAGACCCTCACCACTTCTGCCTTGCAGACAAGGCTTTCTATCTGACTAACCCTGCAGACGCTACAAGTTCAGAGATGCTCTCTGGTCCACTGTCTGTCTAGTTGGCAAGAGGTGTTTGTACACAAAAGGCTGGCCTGTACATCCCACTCCAACCAGCCTGCCCTTCTCTGGGAATTCCTTATACAAAGGGATCCTCTACTCAGCCCTAACTTAGTAACAGGGAAAAAACGACCTCTGTTCTCCCAGCACTTAAAAAGGCTTCTCTATCAGCCAGTGAGATGGCTCAGTGCTTGGTGAAAGCACTTGCAGTCAAGCCTGATGACCTATGTTTGGCCCCCCAGGAACCAAATGGTGGAAGAGAGAACCGACTCCTCTATGTTTTCCTCTGTATCACAATATGCCACAGCAGATGTACACACACACACACACACACACACACACACTTTAGTAAAATGTAATAGCAATGTTAAAAAAAAGCCTCTTCTTGATTAGGCTGTAGACTTCTGTAACAGTGTAAGAACAGGAAGTCTCAACATGTATGCAAATCATGGATAACCTAAGAAATCAACCTGACAGGAGCAAAGACTAAACTGTAGGGTCATCATCCCCAGGCCAGCCTCCTGAAGCATCTGCCATAGAAAGCTTTTTAGACAGTTAGAAGGAGGACTGCCTGGAACCTGGCACTGCATCCTCACACTAAGCCTACAGTTAATAGCATTGCTCAATTAGAGATTCACAGCTTCCCTCCTTAAAACACATCAGTATGAAGTTCCTGTGGGCCACGAATGGCTCGAAAGATTAAGAATGGAACCCTTTGTGTGTACACTGAAGCCTGCGGTTCTGGTCTAGGCTCCTCCTGACTTGCCATGTGGCCTCTAGCAAGGTCCTTCCCTCTTGGACCATCTTTGCTCCAGCTCTTACCCTATTATCTCTTTAAGTCTGAGACATTGTTCCTACACTAAAACTGTGCTTTCTAAATATCCCTGGCCTCCACACTGCCTAATCTAATTCTCAGTCTTCCCATGAATTAATTCAGAACTCTTTCCTCCACCTGGTTTACAGCTACACAGACCACTGCACCTCCCTCTCCCTCCCTGACTGCTCCTGCCCATCTCCGTAACTTCAGAAACAAAGAACTCAGTCCTCTGCCCTTCTTCCCTTTTCCTGGCTATTGTCAGCTTCCATATCCTTCAATACCTGAAACTCCAGGCTGGACCCTTCCTTTTACTACAGAGTCACAAAATTTCCTGCTTGGCAGCATCAGTCCCAACCCCTGAACACTTTACTAACATCTAACCTGAGGTGTTCTTTCTCTGTCAAGTCCCACTTCAGAGGCAGGGACTCAGGCCAAAACATTTAGAGTATATTCTTTCTCTCTCAGATCTATTATTTTATGTTTTTGTATGATATGAACCACTTGTGTGGAGGCCGGGAGAAGACTGTCAGATACCCTAGAACTGAAGCTACATAGGGTTTGGGCTGCCATGTGGACTGAATCTAGGATTAAAGCCATGCCCTGCCGCATCCAGCTGGGTAAGTGGATTTAAAAATCATTGTCATGTTTATTCCCATAACTGGGAAAAGTACCTGTCCCATATATATTTATGGAATGAGTTAGTGGGTATCCAGATCTGTCTGCGTGCCAGAAAAAGGGTAGAGCCTAGGTTATTTCCTCTAGGTAATTTAAAGAGCCCTTAGAAGCAGAGCATTGTGTGTGCATATGTGTATGCATACATGTGTGCATACATACACATGTATTTCCCCCAAATAGAGTCTGGCTGGCCTCAAACTCAAGAACCTCCTGTCCCCATGCCCTGAGTGCTGAGATTTTACGTGTAGGTCACCACCATATTGAACTAATGCAGAAAATTCTACCCATGTGATGCTTTTCTACTTAGCACCACCAGATGGCACCACCAGACCGTCATGCTACCAAGGAAGCAGAAAACCTTGCCCAATACTTGGGCACTTTTTTTTTTTTTTTTTTTTTTTGTGAACCTAGGTTCACTCTCCAGTGCTAATGCTCACCTCGTAGGCTAGATACTTGCTGACCTTGGGTCTTGCTGAAGAGAGACAGTTCATTGGTGATAGACTCCAGCATCTTGACAAAGTTGGGCAGGAAGAGGATGACTTGCACATCATGGTTGGCGAGGTGCCTCCCACAACTGATACCCTGAGCCCCCTTCACATGGGGCCCACACAGCAAGGCTACCGTAGGCCTCTGGTGCACATTCTTA